GCCTTACTAGTAGTAACAAGTGCCTTACTAGTAGTAACAAGTGCCTTGCTAGTAGTAACAAGTGCCTTACTAGTAGTAACAAGAAGCTAGTAACATGGTGAGGCAACGATGAGGTGTCGAGACGAAGATCCGACCGTGCCATCGGCTGAGGTGCGTCACCTGGGCGGTGTGGCTTCGGAAGCGCTTCCAGCCAGGTGCGATGCCCGAGAGGTTGGATGGAATGGGCAGAATAGCTCCGTTCGTAGCGAACATTGCTCCTAGTAGTAAGGCCAGGAGCCCCTAGTAGCTTGATTGCTCCGTTCGTAGCGATGCCCTTTGCTCCTATAGTAGCGTCCTGACAGAATGAGCCAGTGGCACAATGTGGCACACGAGGTTCAGTGACAGAATGACCTTCACCATCATGGTGATCAGTCGCCATCTTCCAAATCTTCTTCACAATGATCAATGGTAAGAGTTTCTGTTGATTCTCCAAGTCTTCTTTGGCATAGACTCATGTAATCTCATAATTCTTAGGCTTCTTATGGGCTAAGAAGGAGTTCGACCTCGCTTCTTCTTCGCGCCAGGTCGAGATCCGGTGGAACAATGGTTGGAGGAGCTTCAAGAGGCCAAAGCCCCCGCAGCGTTGGGTGAAGCACACGTTGTGCGGTTCGGACGTTTCGGTTTCGCTTCGGTCCGGAGGATCGAATTCGGTGCGGTTCGTGTCGTGTCGTGTCGTGTCGTCGTCACCCGTTGTGGGTGAAACACCCGTTTCACCGGCAAAAGTGGTGGCAGTGATTTTCAGATGAGAAACAACTGTCTTTCAGAGATGGCAAAAGCGAGTGGTTTTTCTTTCAGCGATCTGCGACGACATTGGAGACATATCAAGGCGAGATCAACGAAAAAGATGAAAAGGCAACACTAATTACTGGTGAGTTATTTACATTCTGCAACATATTGCACCATTTGTCAGCCAAGCGGGGAGGGTGCTTTGCCTTTGCTTAATCCCCCTGCAGGACAGTGACGAAGAGAAGGAGGAGGCACGGGGGGCATATCATTCGCGATCCGAGTTATTTTTTGGCTGAACTACTCTTCTGATTTTTTCAATCGACACAGTCTTCGAGCGAATGTCTTCTCTCAACATTTTGAGACACTCGCGAGTCACACTCGCTGAGTGGGGCTGATAGGAGTGGACTCGATGGGTCTTGGGGGAAAGTGGTCATTTGTTGCCAGGAGGAAATGATTCAAGACGAGCAGGAGCCTCAACAAACCTTTGCAAGGGGAGGATGTCAAGGCTGCACATCTATAAATGGAAATTCCAAGTCGTTATTAAGTTACTAAGAAGTAGTAGTAGTAGTAGTAGTAGTAGTAGTAGCTCCTTGCAACAAAAGAGATCTATTCGACGATTTGCGTGAAAATGTTCATTGCTCGAGTCTCGTGGTTCTTTTTTGGCAACATTGGCCACTTTTCGAGCTCAGGCCACCAATCCTGCCAGAAACACCCGAGGAGGCATGGGACTCAGCCTTGGTTGGCCTTGGTCGGCCTTGGCTACGCATGTCACATATTGTCAATTATTGTCTGTCACCATGGTTTTCCACATTTGGATGAGGGAGGCAAGATACTATGGCCATCTTTGGCAGCTTTTCCCGTTAAAACAAAGAAGGCCCCCTCCATTGCGTGGTGTGTGCGCGTTCCTGCCACGGCGAACGCTCGTGTGCCGATGGATCGCCTGGATGTGCCGCGAGAGGGTTGGGAGGATGACTGTGTTTACAGCGGGAGAGTGAACACCACATTCGTCACTAACCATGAGTCTGGACGTTTCGTTTTGGAGTTTTGTAGCGTGCCGACAGGCCCGGTTGCGGCTGCAGATCGAAGAGATGCGTTAGCAATTTGCAATGCATGTCAGGCGCTGGGCTACAACCGACAGAACTGATTGACCATTACTTGAAATTCAGGGCTTTGTGAGAGGGGGCAGAGAGAAAGAAAGACATCCCAAACTTCAACATATTTTTGGATTTGCAGTGCGACATTCCGTGATGTCTGAGGCTAGAAGCCCCGACAGCAGAGGGTTTCTTCGCACATGGGGTGGTCAGTGTGAATACCAACCCGGAAAAAATGTTATTTGTATTATGTAATACCAAAAAAATATCGAACTAAATAACGACTTAAATATGTACTTGGGTTAAGTTGTTTTCTCTGGTAAAAAAGTCACCCTTTTGCAGCGTGCAGTTGCGGGATCGCATGTTTCTAGATGTGTTATATCTTCGAAAATGATCTTTAACAGTGCTCGTTGCGATAGCGTGCCCTTGGTGTTTTAGATGCTGCTTGGGGACATGATCCGCACACAGCGCTCTCACCGACACTTTCTCCTTCCTGTAGCCAGTACCCTTTGGCTTATGAAATGCAATTTTTTCCACTGTGATCATGCTTAAATGGTCGAATGGAAAAAGGCTCGTGTTGCTCGCTTGCGACGGTTGTTTAAGCTTTTGAAGTTTCAATTCAGACCAGGGTTCCGAAAGGGGATTGGTCAAGCGGACCTCTCACAAAGGTCACGCGGAAGTCCTAGAGCCTCGCGCGCGGGTCGCGCAGAACGAACCATACTATAATTCGTTTGTTTCTCCCATTCGATCCCCCTGCATGCCTGTAACAATATTGCTCCCAAATAGGTTTACTTGCACCGGGTTCTCATTCTGGTTAGAAAGGTTGTATGCCTGGGCCGGGTGATATTACTTTTGGCCGGATGATTCTACACTTGCGTTTATTTGTTTTTCTGTTTGTGTTTTTCTTATCATAGTTGATTCGCATTTGTTTCGATATGTTTCGACCTACTCTGGATATAGAGCTTATCGTAAAAATGTATACAATAGATTGTCTGGAATCTATGCTGAAATAAACAGACAAATAGATTATGTTCAAGCGTATAATAGTTCGCTGGCAATACGAATCTTAAATAAGGGTTGGGTGTTTTCAGTTCCCAGATTGGTGTTTTCCCTTCCCGTGGTGTTTCCTTTTCCCAGATTGTTTTTTTCGGTTCCCGTGGTGTTTCTGGTTCCCAGGTCTTGGTGTTTTCAGTTCCTGGATTGGTGTTTTCCTTGCCCAGCTCCTGTGTTGGTGTTTTTGGTTCCCAGGTTTGGGTGTTTTCAGTCCTGGACAATGTGTTCCCTGCCCGGCTCCTGTGTTGGTGTGCCCTTTCACGTGTTTGTTTGTCAGCTTTCGTTTGAATTTCTGGCTACCATTGCCCACCGCTGGATTTGAAAGCACGTACTCGTGTCACGCAATTAAACAGACAAAGAACACCGCAAAACCGTCAAAGCCATTCGCTGTAAAAACATGTCAGCTTGCGTAAACCCACTGCCGCAAAAACACAAGGTACCCGGTGGTTCCTGCTCAGGCGTGATGCACAGGGGCTGGGTCGTAGCTTCTGGCGCTTTCGGTCCAAATGTCGTTAGTGTGAACTGAAAGATGCTCTCCAGAAAGGGCAAAAAATTTCCATGCGCTGCGTCCAGGAACATTGTGAGATCTCCCCTTTCTTTGTGCCACCAGCTGACGTGCCACTGAAACTTAAATCCCAGCACTGACCAGCTTCGTCACTGTGCAGCAACAGATAGCCGTCGGTGTGACGTAGCTTGTCAATGGGCGGTGGTGGTGGTGGTGGTGTTGGTGTTGTTGTTGTTGTTGTCGTGGATTTTCGCATGTTGTTTGTTGATCGTTGTTGGTCGTCGTCGTCGTCGTGGTTGTGGTTGTGGTTGTTGTTGTTGTTGTTGTTGTCGTTGTTGCTGTTGTTCGTGGTGGTCGAGGTGGTGGTGGTGGTGGTTGTGGCTTTTGGTGGTTCGTGTTTGTTCGTGTCTTTACAAAAATTCTTTCGCATTGTCTCGCGACAACACAAGACTCCCACCATTTCACACGGGATCACAACACACCCGACACGGGAACCGAAAACACCGGACGCGAAAACCAGAAACACCGGAGACCTAAACGCACGGAACGCGGGAACCGAAAACACCGGACGCGGGAACCGAAAACATCCGCGTATTTTTCCCTCTTCAACGCAAGGCGGGAACCCAAAACACCATCACAGGAACTGAAAACACCCGCGGGGACTGAAAAAACCGAGCCGGGCCCCGAAAACACCGCCGCGCGGGAACCACACACCCACTTGGGAACTAAAAACACCGCGGGAACCGAAAATACCAACGCGGGAAGGAAAAGCACCGCGGGAACCGAAAACACCAATCCGGGAACCAAAAATCCGGAGCCCAATAAGGGAATCCTATTCGATATATTATTGTAAATTTCATTCGATTTGATATTGATATTGAAAACATTTGAGAATATTTTTAATAGACGATATATTGTTGTAATATTGGATAAGAATTATTTTTATCGACGGAGAAAGAGGACGTAATATATTATTTATATGTCAAATATAATAAAATAAAATATCTAAAAATGTATAGAATTATATGTAGAATTTCTATTTTGATGATTAAGGATTTTTTATGAAATTATCGAATTGAATGATATATTAATTTTTATTGTTTATATATTTTTTTTATATTAATAGATACATATGATTATTAATATATGTTTAATTAATTGAAATATATCGGAAAATTTGATAAATTTAAATGGGAATATTTACCTTGAAATTTATGTATTTATTATATGTGTTTGATTTTTGATAGAAAGGATTTATATTCGATTTATATTAATATAATGTATTTAAAATTTAATATTCTTCTAAGATAAATTTTTATACAAAAATATTTTTCTAATAAAATAAATTATTTTTTAATGTATAAAAATATTTTATTTTTTTAATCGGTCTTTACATGATTAATTATGTTTTTAAAAATATTTTTATGCAATTTTATGCGTAATAGATTTTTTATTTATGCTAACCTTCTTTATGACGAAATTCTCAACAAAAATATAAAAATATTTACGGCGTTGCTTATACCAGGAAAATGAACACCATATTCGTCACTAACCATGAGTCTGGACGTTTCATTTTGGAGTTTTGTAGCGCGCCGATAGACCCGGTTGCGCTTGTAAATCGAAAAGATGCATTAGCAATTTGGAATGCGTGTCAGGCGTTGGGCTATAACCGACAGAATTGATTGACCATTACCACTCCAGGATTTGAAATTCAGGGCTTTATAAGAGGGAACAGAGAGAAAGAATGATATCCCTAATGTCATATTTTTGCATTTGCAGTGCGACATTCCGTGATGTCTGAGGCTAGAAGCCCCGATAGCAGAGGGTTTCTTCGCACATAGGGTGGTCAGTGGGAATACCAATCCGGAAAAAAATATTATTTGTATTATATAATATAATATATATAACCAAAAAAATATCGAACTAAATAACGAATTAAATATGTATTTGGATTAAGTTATTTCATCTGGAAAAAAAAATCGCCCTTTTGCAGCGTGCAATTGCGGGATCGCATATTTCTAGATATTTTATATCTTCGAAAATGATCTTTAACAGTGCTCGTTGCGATAGCGTGCCCTTGGTATTTTAGATATTATTTGGGGACATGATCCACAGCGTTTTCATCGACATTTTCTCCTTCCTGTAGCCATATTGTACCCTTTGACTTATGAAACGCAATGTTTTTCAATTATGATCATGCTTAAATGGACGAATGGAAAAAGGCTCGTGTTGCTCGCTTGCGACGGTTGTTTAAGCTATTGAAATTTCAATTCAGACCAGGGTTCCGAAAGGGGATTGGTCAAGCGGACCTCGCACAAAGGTCACGCGGAAGTCCTAAAGCCTCGCGCGCGGGTCGCGCAGAACGAACCATACTATAATTTATTTATTTCTCCCCTTCGATCCCCAGGGCTCAAGATAGCCGGTGTTTCGGAACGACTTCGAGCCCCAGACTGGAAATTTCCAGTCGACTTTCCGCGGCGTAAGCCATAGGGGTGCGGAGCCCTGCGTGGCATCGACGCCTACGATCCAAGAGATCGAAAGCAAGAGCCTTCTTGGCTCGGCATAGAAATAAGCTCTGGCCCAAGGGAAAAACCCTGCATAAACTGCTGTACCTGTCAAGGTCCTTGGCTTTGCACCATTCGAGACCGAGCTTCAAACTTGCTGCACTGGCTTCTAGTGGTGTGGACAGAAGAAGATTCGGGATGACATGGAAGCAAAACAAGAATTGGAATCCCAAGGCGCAGGCATGGAAGCAGGCATGGCCCTCAGAGCAACAGGAAAAGCAGAAGCCAAAGAAGGAAGACAACAAAGCCTTCTTTGTCGGCTACGACGGCAGAAAGGTGGCTGTACCAAATGGACAGGCATCTTCTTCGGGATCTACATCCTCTGCAGCAACGGCTGCAACCAATGCCCAGGTCTTGGAGGAGAATCGGAAGTTGCGGGATGTCTTCAAGTTACTCCTCGACAAGGATGCTGGAAAGGAGGTGGGGAAGAACCCGACGGAGTTGGTGGAAGAATGCAAGAAGTTGGTGCACAACCCTCGAGAAAGTCTTCGAGAAAGACAGAGGGAATTGAACAAAGAGAAGAAAAGCATCAACAGGGCCGAGAAACCCGAGAGCGTCATCAAGGAGAAGGAGGAGAACTTCGCAAGGTGGAAAGCCGGTTTCATGGAAGGGCTGAGGCTGGAAGAAAAGAGATACGAGGAAGAGATGAAGGCTTTGAAAGACGAGCTCAAGAATGTGGAAGATGGCCCCGAGACACATTCTATGGAGCAGGAAAGCGATGGGGAGCAAGGTGCAAGGGCTCTGGCGGAGGACCTTTCACAAGTCAAAGCACAAATGGATCAGATGGCTACTTATTTCGAGGTCATGGAGAAGAGGAATCAACAGATGGTGCAGGAAATGAACCATCAAGTCCAGAGCTTGGTGGCTGTGATCCGCACCTCGCAAAGGCCGGATATGGTCAATCAATCATCCCCTCAGCTGGTCCGACCACCAGGACAAAGGCTGGATATGGAACGAACTCCAGTACGGGAAGAACGATCCA